TTGGTCAGACAAAAAGAAAATTGAGTACAAGACTACGCGAACATAATTATTATAGAAAGAATTCTCCTACTATCATAATTGATCATCGAATTAATTTTGATCATAATTTTAAATGGAACGATGTGAAAATTTTAGACTGCCAATCTTCTTATAATAAGAGATTGATGTCTGAAATGATTTATATTAAAAGACAGAAACAGGGTCTTTTAATAGACAAAATGATATCGAATCTTTACCTGAAACCTACTCACAGATCATCCAATCTCTTTCTCCTTTTTAACTGCTTTCCTTTCCTATCCATCTCTTCTTTCCCTACTTTTTCTCCCATTTACTTTATTTTCTCCTTCTTATGTTCCTCTTCCTTTTTAGTTTTCCATTTCAACCTTCCTGTCTTTATATGTTATACTTTACTTTATCTCTTAGCTTCCTTAGAGAGATGATCAATTTTGATTCTCATCGCATTGTCTAATCGATAACATATCATTTTGACACACATGAGGTATTTATTCTAAATTTATTTGTACTAAATTCAATATATACATAATGAATGACGGCATTTTACACTTTCTCTATCGACATTAATAACTCTTTGTACATGTCTTATAATATAATATCAAAAATAATTTTTGCCTCAAATGAGTCACTCTCTTGTATGTGGAAGTAGGATCTCGGGTAGTGGTGCAGGAATTTCTTCTAGGACAAAGTTCCTCTGGAGATCGTTAATTTATTATTACAATTTGTATTTGCTAACAGATACATGTTCGTCCTTATGCACACACATAGTTTGGAGGAACACATTGGTGTCAACTACAATCCAATCTTCTTATAATAAGAGATTGATGTCTGAAATGATTTATATTAAAAGACAGAAACAGGGTCTTTTAATAGACAAAATGATATCGAATCTTTACCTGAAACCTACTCACAGATCATCCAATCTCTTTCTCCTTTTTAACTGCTTTCCTTTCCTATCCATCTCTTCTTTCCCTACTTTTTCTCCCATTTACTTTATTTTCTCCTTCTTATGTTCCTCTTCCTTTTTAGTTTTCCATTTCAACCTTCCTGTCTTTATATGTTATACTTTACTTTATCTCTTAGCTTCCTTAGAGAGATGATCAATTTTGATTCTCATCGCATTGTCTAATCGATAACATTACATAATAAGGTATTTATTCTTAATTTATCTGTAAACTCATTATATACAATGAATGACAGCATTTTACTCTTTCTCGATATTAATAATTCTTATGTACATGTCTTATAATATTAAAAATTATTTTTGCCTCTTTTTTTTTTAATTTTAATTTTATTACTTGCGACTTGTTTTGTACCTTTCTTTTTATTATTTACGACTCGATTTGTACTTTTCTTATTATTTTTATTTATTCCTATCGTTAATTTATTATTACAATTTGTATTTGCTAACAGATACATGTTCGTCCTTATGCACACACATAGTTTGGAGGAACACATTGGTGTCAACTACAATCGTTTGTTTGGTTTTCTTTCAATTTGGAGCGAGTTTTATAGTTGATACTGCATCCGAAATTCATTTAATTTCTATATATTTTATCTACGTAACATTTCTATTATTGTCTTGTCGTCACATTGAAAATGATCTAACAGGGATTGAAACGTTTGTTTTTGTTCACTTACTGACTGTCAAATTATATTTTAAGTTTTTTAATTTAATGACATGTTTTATTTCATTTTTTAACTATTTAATACAAATTGTTATTTTATGTTGATTGTTTTAGGTTCGTAGCCCTTTGTCCTTTTTATTTATTTTAATTTATTGATTATTTTTATAATTACTTATTATTTTTATAATAACTTAAACTTATTATTTTTATAATTGATATTAACTAATTTTTGTAGTCTTTCTAAGTTAGACAGCTAGAGATAATTTGACGATTGCCTATCTGTATTGCTACAGTCATTTATCATTTTTTTTTCATTTTGCATGTTCAGCAGAATATTTATTGCTTCTATTTAAAGAATTTAAATAAAATATATTTATTGTTTACGTTAATATTTATTGCTTTTATTTAAAGAATTTACTCGAGACTGAAAACTATAACGCTCATATGTATGTGCGATGCTATTTTTGTGATAAAAAAAGCATAAAATTTCATAAGATATTGGGAGTACAAATTAGTTCGATCCGTTCTTTTGTGTTCAAAAATGCATTTATTTCAAAACAAAATGAATGAACAGATTAATTAAAGTATTGTCCATCGCTGGTTATTACTTCTTCCCCATCTCTCAGGCAATTTTCGAATTCCATCTCGAAAAAATGACTCGTCTTTGGAGGCGATCCAATTTTGGAGAAGTGAACCGGTGACTTGCCAAATCGTGCTGCATCCTTCAGAACAACCAGTAATCAGAAGGAGCAATGTCCGGAGAATACGACGGGTGCGGTAAAACATCTCATTTGAGCGTTTCCAAATATTTTTTAAAATAATAATAATTAAATATCACAAACTATAACTTGTGCTGTGGTTTTTTATGCTCTTATTTTTTATATGTGTTAATATTAGAACCACGTTAGTTTTAAAATATTTTTCAAACGAATCAATTATAGCCGATACCGATCGCCCATAATGGAATCGCCAGGTTTCAGCAGCTCATAGTAAACAACACCTTTTGATCCTACCAGATACAGAACATGATCTTCGAACTATGAATGTTCGACTGTTCTTCTTTGTGTTGATGTTGAGGTCGATGGCGACGATTGATAGCAATGGGCTTAGCGTAGTATTTTTTCTGCTTGGGGTTGTCGTAGAATATCCACTTCTCATCACCAGTTACAATCCGATGCAAAAAACCTTTTCTTTGTTGTCTTTGAATCAGCTGTTCGCAAGTGAAAAATCGCCTTTCAACGTCTCTCGGTTTCAGTTCATAAGGCACCCAATTTCCTTGTTTTTGAATTATTCCCATGACTCTCAATCGTGCAGAAACGATTTGTTGAGTTACTCCCAATGATTCTGCAAACTCCTCTTGCGTTTGACTCTGATCTTCTTCGAGTAATGCCTCTAATTCTTTGTCTTCGAATTTTTTTGGCTGTCCAGAGCGAGGCTTGTCTTCAACGCTGAAATATCCATCCTTGAAACGTCGAAACCATTCCCCACATGATTTATCAGTTGGAGCAGTGTCACCATAAACTTCAGGTGCACTTTTCTTCCAATTAAAGCAGAAAATTAGAACCTCCCGCAAATGCTGCTTGGTTAACACAAAATTCGACATTTCAAACACAGTAAAAATCAAGGTTTTTGTATGAAACTCAAGGCGATATAAACTGAATATTATTAATAGATGTCTAACCTCTTTGAAACGCCAAAATCAAAACGGACCGAACTAATTTATACTACCAATACAAAGAAAATAGAATACGCTTTGTATACGAGTTGTGAATGAAGTTAACCGTAGATGTGCACAATAGCCGGACATTCGTGGGCGCCCTTGAGCGCCCGTGTCCAGTTTCAGCATTTTGCCGATCTCTGCTTTAAGCATTCTCGAAAGCATATTATACATACATGATTCAATTACCAGAACCGCGTAAAAGTAATGCGTGAAAATGTGTATTAAAACTGCTCTTTACAAGTTACGGATTTCCGATTTTGAGCATATTCACATAATTTTGAAAAATAAAATGGATTGGCAGTTATCACCCGGCATTGATTAAGTCTTGGATTTTCAAACCGCGTAAAAGTAATACATAGATGAAATGCATATTAAAATATAATCGTATACAAGTAATGCACGGAAATGTATATGAAATCCGAAAACTACCTACCAGGAATTTCCAACCCTCACCGTGTCCACAAATGTAAGAAAGGGTACAATGGATCGCCAGTTTGAACCCACTGTTAAAAAAAAACTTTTTTCGAATATATATATAAATAATGTATGAAATTTGCAAATGGCATCAGATATCTATTCTCACTGTATTTACTTATATACACGCTTATACGTATTGGTCTCTGGAATTCCGTTTATCTATTTTTTTTAATTGAATACAAATTTTCAATTACAGATCAATCTTTTATTAGGAAACTCATAATAACTCATCACTAATTTAAACAAGAAAATACTTACATAAACCGGATTATGTTATTTCCTGTAAATACCAGTAAACTTTATGTCATAAATTCCTTGCATGTCCTAACGTATTTGCAATTATGCATGTCAACAGATAATATTTTTATTAGAGAATCCAACTATGTACAATACCATGAAATGGAAATGCTTATATAACCATATTTAATATTTATTTCGATAGATTTTATGCCAATTAAAAATTGATTTGTCCATGTCCCGATATGAACGTACATACTTTTTATATGGAATATCCACAATTAAAATTTTTAGCAGGGCAGAAATGTTAAAATTATGTTTTAAAATCATGGTTGCATAAACGTTTCTATTGATACAAAGTTTCCTATTGGTTTCTTATGGTTATGGAACTATTATATGTGTTTATAAAACGTGCATGTGCTATCTAGGATGCGATCCTTCACCACTTATTCTTTTCATTCATACCTTATCTTAAAAATCAACGATTTTGAAATATTTGTTAATGGAACTAGTTAAATAACATAGTTATTTAACTTGTTCCTAAAGACTTCAAAAGATTTTAGGTTTATAAAATAACCTTAAATGGTTTTAAAATAAAAATAACTATTCCTAAACATTATATAAACGTCGTTGTTTTACTTGAGGTTTTTCACATCGACAGCCAGTACAGGCTTATATACTCCTTACTTATAATTATTATTGTGTTATTAAAATCCTTTGTCATTGTAGTATTGTAAACATAACATTTTTCTATATCGAAATTTGAGTATGATTTTCTAACGAACGACAATCGAATTTGTTTCAGACAAATCTACTATTCGCCTTTATCTTCTTTTCATCTGTATTCGGTTCCGGTATTTGCTCTGAAGAACAATTTGTCCAATATCGATCAATACGTGAAGGAACTTGGGCGGAAGACTTCGCAAACGGACGGCATGGCAATGTCATCTACTGGTGTACTTTACTTCGGTTTACTAGCTGACGACGCTATCGCTATGTGGGATACCAAGAATACACCATCCTTTACCGTCGGTCAACGAATTATATCGCGCGATCATGTATTGACACAATGGCCCGACAGTTTCGTATTTGACGAAGATGGCAATTTTTGGTGCGTCACCAATATGCTGCAAAACTTCTTAAATAATCGCATTGATATCAACATGCCCAACTATCGTCTTATTCGATTACACGCAGGCGTTAAAAATTATCAATATTACGAGAATGGCACGGCGCCCGAGTTATCAGATTTTACTGCCGGTGCTGATTCCGTCACATTTGTATTCGTCGCGCTATTGCCTACCATTTTGATATTTATCGCTAAGTAACCGCTTTATGACAAAATCCTGTTAAAGATATTTATGTTGTGAATATGAAGAAACAATTTACGAATTCATGCCAAAAATAGTTAATCATGTATTAATTAAAATGACGCACAAATTTAACTATCAATCAGAGGCATACATAATTAAAAACGTATAATGCGCGATCGTGTAACCAATCAGACGCGATACACGTTACATGAAAAATCTATATTATGTGACCTTTGAACATCGTATCTTTTCTTACAGCTTCGAGAAAGAAACGTAAAATCTAACAATAGACTAAGATTATATAGCGAAATACAGTTTAATTTTATCACATGAAAGTGTGTGATCGATTACCTTACATCATTGCCAAAATCAAAATATTTTATATGATTTAAAAGATTATACTACAGTTTACAGCAAGAAATTATTTTGAACCAGATGAAGTACTTTTTTATAGTTTTATAGACTTCTCAGTATTGAAATTGACACCGAAAGCGAAATTTTTTTTAGCACATGTATAAGGTTTTTAAAATAACTACGATTTAACATACAAGAAATGGTTTTTTTGCGATATTCTTTATAAAAAACATTGACGTTATCTTGACATTCTGATTAGAAGTTATAAATGTATTAATTATTTATTCTCTAAATAAAAGACCATTTTTTATATAAAGATTATGCATTTCGCAGGTTTTCTTCATGTCCAGATCCATTCTTGGAATGTCAACGTTTCGTGAAGGATTTATTATAAATTACAAGAAAAATATAGGAATTCTTAAGAGAGAAAATTTTTTATTTATAATGATGAAATCATGTATATTCATATATTTTAATTTTTGGCTATTGATATATATACGTAGTGTAATTTCTCATAATAGATTTCTAAATATATTTACACACATATATATATATATATACATATGCATATGTGTATATACAAGGTGTTCAAAAAAGTTACGCCGGATTCACTCGACAGGAGAGTTTGTGAAAGAAATTTGTTTCAGACAAAATTTGTAAAGTGATTTATAATTATACAAGGTGACTGATAAAATTTGTAATTATGCAAGATGATCGATCAACGGCAAAAACCATTTAAATGTTATTCAGTATCATGTTTGGATGTCAAGATCAAGGTCATTGGATCTTATACTTCTTATTATCATTCTTACGTAAAAATGAATTTTTAGTGCAAAAAATGAAAATAAGAGGAATAATTTTCAATGGCCTTGATCTTAATAAATGTTATCCTGGACATTAACTTGAACATTCAAGATTTCAGCCGTCACTCGGACATCTTGCGTAATGTGAATGCCGGCGATGTTGTAATCGTCAAGCTTTATAACTCAAAAAATATTTAATAAAAAAAATTCATTACAATGTTTTGAAAAACTTTTGAATACGCTATTGGATTCTAGCATCAAAAACTGGGTGCGTCCCATTTAAAAAATCAATTTAATTTTGACCTTTTTATTCCTTACAACTTTTGTCTGAAACATTTCTGTCAAAAATGTCATCTTCCCGAGTAAATCTGAGGTCCCAACCTTTTTTAAATATCCTGTATATGTATATATATTTAGCGCGCGCGTGTGTGTACATATACTCACATTTCATTTTAATTATTCACATTGACGATTTTGAAATAAGCTTTTTTAAGAAAAATAACATTTTTTAGATAAAATTTGTATGATTTATATATGTGCTTTAATGACTACAAACTAGAAATACAATTTATAGGGTGGACCTAAAATCCGGATACAGTCGAATATCTCTTAAACAAAGCATTCTTGAAAAAAATGTTTCAGGAATTGTAGAGCTTGAACAATGCATCATATGATGAGACTTAGTTGAGTGTAAGTACGGAGGAACTCTCAAGATCAATTTTTTAATTTGGAATAGATATTCCACTTTCTGTTTATTATTCTTATAGCTAATAACGAGATTTTTTCAAAATATTATAATGAAATTCTTTTTAATTAAGTTTTTTTCGGATATGAGTTTAGGTAGATTAAAGTTTAGGAAGGTATCGCCAGTATTAGCAAAATCCAAGGTGTCCGGCCGATGATTAAAATTTTTTCTTATATGTTCAGAATCATGACCTTAATAACATTTGTCTAGATCATTGCAGGATATGTTACTTTTCCATTAAAAATGAAAACGAAGGGATAACTTTTAGCCATCTCGATTTTGACATATGTTATCAAGGTCATGACAAAGGTGTACAATAATTCAAGATTTTAGCCGTTAATCAAACAGTTTGAATAATGTTAATGTTAACATTGGAGTACCTTTAACTTTGTCAACGCATATCCCAAAAAAGATTTTTTAAAACGATTATTACGATAGAATCTATAAGAATTAAAATTAGATTTATAAAAGCGTGTTTAAAAACAAATATAATCCCTGCACATCTTAATAATTTGGTTAAATATACGTTAATTTATATCATCATAATTCTAAAACACGTTTGAACAATATTTGCTTAAAACACGTCAAATCGATATTAACAGAGGCAAATAACACTATTTGTAACGTCGTTATCATTATAAGTTACTTTCTTCGGTAACAAATAGGTAATGACGTTATATTTTCTTCTGACTAACGTCCATAGCAATTAGATTTTTGGAATAATAACGATTTCACTAGTTACTTTAATCGTTATTCTAACTATGTAAAAGTTTAGTTGTAACTAAAGTCCTAAAAAACAGAAATGAAATATTAATAGTCTGATTGACTGTCTAATTACAACGCCTTTTTTTATTATTATATATTCACAATTTACATGTATAAGACTAACTCAGATATAATCCTTACAGCATATTTAATTTCTTAAAATAAAATTTTTTATGTGTCGTATATCATAAATTACGTATATGTATATAATGCAGATTACAAACAATACTATTTTTTTATTATATATAATTTTTTTATTATATATATTATAATTTTACCCTTAGAGTATTCACGATGAGTCATTCGTATCTTATTTTTTTTTCTTTGAATACTGCACCTGGCTAAATAATTCTGTTTATCCTTTCCTTCTTTTTAAATATGCAACTTTATCACCCCTTGTCCAAAATTGTACTAAATGTAACTTATAGGATATCAAAACTTAGGTTGAAGCTTCTAGTTTTCGATGTGGCGATTTTGAAAAATATCAAGTAGGGGAGACCAGGACTAATAGACTCATTTTTCAGTTTCAAATTTTTACAGACAAAATTAAAAGACTTATCGAAAAAATGAATTCTACACCAGGTACTACGTACATTTGATTACCTAATAATATTTTAATAATAAGGGGAAACTGATAACTAATATAAAAAAAATGCATTTTTCTAATGCATTCCATTTGATTCAACTATTCAATTAGCCCCGGGACCGGGGTAATTCAACTAAAATTATTAAAATAAAGATTAATGTATTTTAAGCTACATATTTGGCTACATATTAATAAAACTTTTATAAAAATATATTTTAAACACAAACATTCGCTTTGCAGGGCAAACAATACTTCTTTTCGCAAAATTTGTTCATTTTGTGCGAAAACACGTCGAGTAAGCCTAGTTTTCGAGATTAAACATGAGAGAACTTATGACATTTACTACTGAGGAAAATCTTTTTAAAGGAATAAAATTTTGAGTAAGTATAATATTATAAGAGTCGTCACTAAATAAATCATACAGTTTCATGTTGTGGTTAGTCTACTATCCTCATTCGTTCATTTTTTTAAAAATTAACAATATACGATAACAGAGACACAGGTTTTTTATTCTATTTTTTATTGTTGAAAATATGAATTTAAGAGGATAACCATTACTTAAAAGAGTGCGAATTAAATCAGAGATGTTTTTTTCTTGAAATTTAGGATGGGATAAAAGCAAAATTCTATCGAATTGCCCAATGATTACTCCCCTTTTATGTACTAACGGATGATTCGAAAAATATTATAGTTTAACTATCTCCCAGAATTAGTAGGTTTTTTATAAATATCGAAGATAATACTTCCTTTTTGTCTCATTAATTTTACGTCTAGAAAATTTATGCCGTTTTCATCGCCAAAGTCAACAGTAAATCTAAGCCTTTCATGATATGAGTTAAAGCCTTTCATGATATAAGTTTGCCTGATGTTTATCTGCCTCTTCTTAAGAAAGATCTCTCTCTTATTTAATAAATAATTTTAGAACTTTCTAAACTTTTGACTCATATATATAAATAGTGGTAAAATGTATGATATAACAAATACAATGTCACGACAAATTTCTGTGCAAAGGATATACTTGAGATTCATCATTATATTTTTTTGCTGTAAAATAGGTAACGATTCTATTCTTACATATTCAGATTAGAAGATATTAATGATACACAAATTTATTTAAATTAGAATCTGGAAATTCTCGTTCTACACTTTTCGTGATATAACAATTGGCGTTATAACATTATTGTACGAAGCATCTTCACATATGAAAGAACACGTTTACATAATTACAACATACGACGGTTAAATTTAATGTCAACTATATGTAACTTTGCGTTTTAAGAATATGAATTTACTGAAGATGGCCAGATTGTGGCCGAAACGTTTAATGTTTTAATTAATGTAATGACAATTAAATATCACAAACTATACTTGTGCGGTGGTTTTTTATGCTCTTCTTTTTATACGTTTTTATATTTACTTATGTGTACAATTTTTTAAAATAACTTCTATCATAGATGTGTTCGCAACAAGATATTATAGCAGACTTAACGACAGTCGCTGCTGCGTGCTCAAACACATTTACGCATGTCTCGCGTGTTCTGTTTTTAATGTAGCCTCGATTATTCTACTTACCCTTATATTCAACTAATTCGGCCTTAATGACCTTGATTTTATTTGTTAAATAGAAAAGTAATGTTTTTCATTGTTCCAATTTTCACTATTTTTTTGAAAATAAGGTACAATAGTTATTTTCAATGCAATTTTGTATGTTAAATCCAAATCTGAAATTAAAATTAATCAATAATATTTGCGCGAAAAATAGTCAAAAAGAGCAAAATTGCCGTTTTTCGTCATAATCGTATTCTTTCTTCAAATAACATTTAATTTTCATTGGTATTCACTTCTGAGAGTTGTAAGTACCCAGACAGCACAGTAACGTTTTAAAAATATATTTAAAATATACATGTTGGACATATTGAAAACATCCAGATTAGATCCGATATTTTAAAACCGTTTTAAAAACATCCAATGTTATCATTTTGGATTTTTTAAAAACGTTCATTTTAGGTTCCAATGGACTAAAACTAGACTAAATTAATATATTAAACAAATTTTAAACAGCTTAGCATTAATAATT